GGAGATTTGGCAGCGGAGCTTATCGTTTATTCTGCTTTAGTCAATAATTTTTAATGAGATACAATTTAACCATTTTGACAAATTTTGAAATAGATTAATAAAAAAAAGGGGTGCAAAAAAAAAAATTTAATAATAAATAATGATATTTATAGTAAATAATTTCTTTTATATTATTCCTTGATGAGGAAATCCCAAAATCACTAACCTCAATAAGAACATACAGTAATTAATGTTTTGCTTGCATGATTTTTTTTTTTCGTTTGTTTATATAGACAGTTTAATTTTACCGAGGTTTCTCGATTTTTCGTCATTTAACCATGTAAAAAAAAAAATTCCTAAACATTCCTAACTTTCCTAAGAAAATGAAAAAATCATGTTTTAAAATGGTGCAGATACTTTAATTCATGACTTCGAAAACTTCCAGTACATGAAACGTGTACATACATATAATAAACAATATTTATAATTCATGCAATTTAGAATTTATAAATAGTAAATAAAGTTGATTTATGTAATAATTAGAAATTTTTTTTATTTTAAAGTGATTCTTTTAATTTTTTTCAAATGAAGAAAATAATATAATGACGATGATAATAAAACAGAATCTTCATAATTCATTTTTCTCTATTTATAATATCAAAAGTGCAAATCAATCAAATTCCCTTAATGAAATGATATCACTCAAATAACTTGTTCTATTTTTATTTTTTAAATAACCGAATTTTGTGCTTAATATAGAATTTAATATATATAAATAAATGTATATATATATATATATTTATTTCGTATTCTCTAATTTTTCGGGATTAGCCGTGATTAAATATTTACATAAAGAATCGTTCAACGTTTTCCAAAAAAAAAACAAACAGAATTCTAGACCAAATATATTCACCGATCTAACCCCGTAATGAGTAATCTGTTGCTGGTGACACTACTTAAAAATCATCAACATCAAAACTAAAATGATGGTAAAAACAAAAAAAATCTTTTTTAACTGTAAATGACCCTAAACTAAAAATGTTAATAAGTCATTAACCCTGCCTCAAATAACTCAAATTACGCAACGCATAATTCATTCATCTATAAAGGCAATGTCCAAAATAGGTTTAGAATTTAAATTAAAATCAAGTTAATTACAAAAACAGGTTTTTTCCCCCTCTCCTCAAAATTCATTAATTTTAAATGAAAATATTTAAATATTATATAGGTTTCACAATAATATAATGGTAAATTTTAATATAAATCAAGTTTAATTTTAATGTTACGTTATATTTACGGATTTACAGACCACCATTGTAATGAATATATATATGCGACACACACATAAGATATGCATCGGCCACTCTCTTTATGTATTAAAATTATTTTTAGATTCATTTTGGAATTCGATCCCTTATTGAAGGGATTGTAATAATTAATTTTTTTTTTTTCAAAATAAATCATTATATCATAAATTTCTAAAAAAAGAAGGATCTCGTATAAAACTTACGATACAAGACCAAGTTTGTATTCATTCAAAATGCCTCTTGAAAACTTTCATCATGTTGTGAAAACCGAAAACTCCTTGAATTTCAAAATTATTAATTAAATGCATGAATAACGAGCGAATTCAACAAACAAGTACGATGGTATCTTGAAGCAAGTGATCGGACCTATAAAATAAATTCACTCCGGGTTTCCGCAAAAGTGACTCATAAGCCAAGAATTTCCTTCAATCGTCACTTCTATCACTTGTATTGTAAAATTCGTAATTCTGTAATTAGTTGCAAAGGAATCATACGACAAGTTCTTTCCTTTACTTAACAACAATCTTCTCTAAAGTGGCACTTTTCATCGCATAGCCAGTGGTGATTATGTAACCAATTTATCGTTTTTTTTGTCTGTGCGACAAAATTTGTCGATTTTCCGCAGCAAGCAAATTAAAAAGTTATAATTTTCGTCATTAATGTAAGGGAAACAAATGACGCATTGTAGATTTCTAAATAAATCAAAAATAGTCCGACAATGCCACAATGCGGTAACCAGGAATTATTATTTTACCTCAACCAAAATGAAAAAAATTTGGTAAAACAATTAATTGGCTGATGCTAATAATAAAAAAAATTCCATAAAAATAGAATTACTCATAAATTACGTCATAAAGATTTAAAATGTATTTGGAATGAATTTATTTAGAAATAATCTACTGTTTATTGTTTTAAACTGTACATATATTGTCAGTTATTTAATAAAAAAAAAAAAAATTATTAAATGTACTTTTCGAAAATTACCAAAATTGTAAGTAAGGTGATAAATGTAAATGGGAAGCAAGGAAGGAACGTAACGAGATCTACCCTGAGCATTTATGATTGCTATTAAAAGCAAAACTGGTGATTAATCAATCAATAAGGTGATATCCTTTTTGTACGATTCAGGGAAAAAGGAATCTTAAGAACTCTTCATGTCTTTTTTAGCATTTGCTTACCACCGAAACAGTCCACGATGAATAATAAAATAAAAAATATCACTTGGTAAAATTACGACTCGTCTGGTCAGTAATGAATATAAGTGCATTTATTGGATTGCTGTTTCAATACCAAGAATTAATAATGTAATGATAAAGTTATGCATAAAAATCTTGATAAACTTAATACTTTAAATTAGAGTTTTTTTTAATTCCTGGTAAAGCATGAGAAATATAGTTGTTTGTCTGTTACATTTTTTTTTTCACCAAATATGAGAATGATCATTGGTGATTGGTGATAGTATAGAAGAAGCAAAAGAATTTCATCATTTTTTTTTTCCATTGTCTAGAAAATCAAAAAATCTTTTTTTATTTTTAGTATCAATAATGCTTATTCATTTGGGGACTTGAATTGTTGGTTTATTGCCACATGACTTGATTACACCAATGTTGTAATGTTTATCATTTAACAACCAAAACTTGTTCTTTGTCTTGTTCCTTGTTGTTCCATTCCCTTCCACACAAATTCCACGCATATTTTCATGCATTTGAAACATTCCCGTCGCCCCCTGACTGGTGATTAAAAGCCATAACAAGCCGTTGTACGTAATTTGTGCAATGCGCCAAACTTGATGAAGTTAGTGGCTAGTGAGAAGTCTATTCCATGAAGAAACATGTGTGTCAAATTCTTTCTGAGATTAACGAACTCTTAATAATAAGTTAGTTGATCTTTGTTTGATATAAAAAGTGGTGAAAAACCGTTGTGGCTCAAAAAAAAAAAAAAAAAAAAAAAAAAATTGGATGATATTTTCTAGGAAAAATTATCTTGACGAGAGGGAAAAATTCAACCTAGTTGTGATATACAACGTCCTCTTCGACATTTTTTAAAATACTTCCTTTTCTATGGGTATACACAAGCCTTGACTAATCAAAATCGTTATTGATTTGCCACTCGAGTAGCACAGGACTATCTTCCCGCATTATAATATATTTTAGGAATTGGACAACGTGATCTATATTCGGTGAATATCGGCCTTGCTTCGATCGAATTGCGGAAATCGATCATAAAAAAAAAAGATAACATTAACACAAGAGATGCGTTGAGAATATGCAATTGGTTAATATGTTATGCGCACATGAATAGAAAGCTCTATTTAAATTTAACGTAATAGGAAATAACCAAATTCAAGGGGCATGAAAAAATGCACGAGAGGAAAAATCTCCCCAAGAGAAATTTGAAAATTTTATAACGCTTGTTTTTGTGTCAAATTAGTATCTCAATGAACTCTAATAATACACTATTATCCACAATCAGGTTGAATTGTCGATTGCCAGGTATAAATAACATTTATAAACAAACAAATCAAAAAAAAGAAAAGGTAGAACTTTTTTAAGGTTTCACGCGACCTATTTAATACCTTAATACCAACTGATTTAAAGTTAACATTAAGCTTTATTGATGTGGTTAATTGAGAAAAAATAATATATATATATTTTTATATTTTTAGACAATGATTCTTTATTTGTTTGAAAAATATTCCCGCCAATGTTTGTTCTATACAATTTCCTTAAAGGATGGTCAACAAAACTCTCTAAAAATAGAAGATTGAAATAGCTTTGTAGTGGCATGAGTGGCACATGTAAAGATCCAGTAATTTGGTAAGATACATTGTGTAGCAAATAATAACGAGATTATTGAAACGAAAATTATCCGATGATTTAAATCTATTTTTATCGCGGATCGGGTAAAATCATAATCATCACATCAATATCACTGTGATACGTATTTTAGTATTCTGGTGATTCTAAATTTGGATCCTCTTTGTAATAATTGCAAAATGTGATTTGCTCCAAAAATAACTTTTTCTGATAATAGATGCATAAGGAAAATCATTCAATTCTAAATGTTACTTAGTTCACAAAAAAAATATAAAAGCTCAGGTTTGTTGAGCATTCCCCATTTCTCAACACTTTCAGCGTGTTTAAAAATATTTGAGCTATTTTGAGAAAATAAAAATATATATGAAAATATATAAATATATTTAAAAATTTTGCTCTTTACTACCTTCTTGTTATTATTTGTTCGTCGTTAGAGTTGATAAAAAATCAAGGCCTTAATAAAAAATACTTTTTTTATACATTGTTATTCTATAATTTATACACCGATACTATAAACTCTGATAAATGGTCTATTTTTAACTCGTGAAGTTTTTCCCGCCAAAAAATTTCTTTTGCTATTTTGATAATACATTACACGAAGCTTTCGGCCAATCACCTCTTTACCTTCTATTTTTAAACATTATATATATTACCTTTGATATCAATTGTCATTAATATTTAACGAATTTTTCCTTTATAACGGTTTATATTAATCATTATAATTATTTTTTCGGAATACGATTCTTCCGTTTTACGATTGTTCCTACATATAAAATATATATATATATATATATAACCCACCATTCTCTCGCTTAAATTTTCGTTCGCAATTCTCGTAACTTTTATTTTATTTTAATTTTTTTTTTCGTTTTAACGACTCCTCACAAACAACTACTCAATGGATCTAGTTCAAGATATCCCAACCGAATATTTCTATCCGAATTTCAATCAAAAAGATCTCACACCTGAAGTTGGTTATTATCAACCTGAAACTTCAACTTTTCAATCCTCGTTTGTTGAAGATTTTAACTTTTACCCACAACAATTTGATTATACCCCATCTTATGGTTCACCACAAAGTTCATTTCAAGAAAGTATAGAATCCTCTCCTTCGCTTTCAGATTATGAACCTTCATCTGATGGTTATGCCTCTTGTATAAGTTCCGGAATTTCTTCACCAAATCTTCCGACCGACACGATGTATTTTGAACAAGAGAGAAGGAATTCTTTTGAATATACTTCGGACTTTTCACAAATCAATCAAGAAACCTATGACATCGATGCACAGTTTCAACAATTTGGCGATCTAGGTGTTGAACCAGTTCCTTCGCTTAAACTTGACACAAATATTCCTCCTTCAAATGATCAAACCGCGGCTACGGATAATTTTTTCTCTGATTCTACTTTTGCTCATTGCTTGTCAGTTGAACCTCAACCAATGTTTAACTTGGTACCAGCAACCCCAATCACTCCCACAAAGGCTGCTGCTATCGCTGATAGCCTTTTCCCTTATACAATTCAACTTCCCCCACTTCAATCTACTTCTGTACCTAATCCTGATGAACAATTACCAACGACCATGTCAATTTCAAATACTCAAATGAACATTATGGAACAACAAGTTCATCTCGCTGAAGTTCAACAACAACAACAACAACATCAGCATCAGCATCAACAGCATCAGCAACAAGAAACTCAACAACAAGCATCTGTCAAAAACAAAGCTACCAGTAGAAAATCAGATTCGAGTTTATTACGTGGTAGAAGCCATTCTACGGTTTCTCATCGGGGTCATCGTAAATCACTTCCAAGTGATATGGTAGAAAGGTTATATACAATGAATTTAGCACCTCCAAAACCTGCTCGTAAATCAAAAACTGCTGCACCTTTCGAATGTCCTTACGAGGATTGTCCAAAAACTTTTACTCGTCAATACAACCTTAAAAGTCATTTACGTACTCACACCGATGAAAGACCTTTCCTTTGTGGGTATCAAGGTTGTATGCGAGCATTCGCAAGACAACATGATCGTAAGCGTCATTATAATTTACATTTGGGTTTTAAACCTCACGTGTGTAGCCATTGTGGGCGTGCTTTTGCTAGATTAGATGCTTTGAATCGTCATCTTCGTTCAGATGGTGGTGCTCCTTGCGCTCAAGCAACTCTTCCAAATTCTGGTGCAAAAAAATTTAAACCTGTCAACATGTAAAATGAATGACATTTTTACGTAGTCCAAAAAAAAAAATTTTTATTTCGGTTTCGATTTTTAGCAAACTTAGATTTTTATTTATATTCCTGTAATTAGATTTCTCAAACAAATACAATTGGACATTTGTAAATAACTTTTTCAACAAAAAAAATTACTTCGATGAACTTTTTTTCGTTATTTCTTTAAAAAAAAAAAAAAAAAATGGCAAACAATAATCTGAAAAAAATCATGTAAATTGGCGGCAAAAATCTGAATTTTTTTTTTTTTTATTGGAATTTTATTTTTCGGCGTTTTCTCTTTTTTTTCATCACTCATCTTTTTCATCTTCACATAATAAAACAAATAAAAATACCCATTTAGTTAATTCATTTAGAACAATATAATTATACCTTTTTTTTAGATTATATAAATCACAAGATTTTTAATATGAAACAAATAAATAAGATTTTATTCCTCACTATGGATGGTTATGGTTTATTTATTTTATTTTAAAACTTTTTTTTTTGTTTCTTTTTTTTTTTAAAAAAAAAAAAAAGAAAACTTTATTTTATTTTGTACCGAGTTTTTAAATTAATAATAATTTGTGCTCTCTCGGGCTTTTTTTTAATTCACCTTTTTTTTTATATTTGTTATTATACATTATCTTATTTGTATATAGTTTACATATATATAATTTTTTGCATTATTAATAAAATAACAATATCGGTTTAAAAATTATTTTTTATCTTTTTTTCTAAAAATGTGAACAATAGATTTAATAAATGAACAATAGATATAGATTGAATATCTGTTTTGTCGTTCTTTCGGAAATTTTGAGAAATTAAAATGACGAAAACAATTAATTCGAGTAACCTCTTTTTATTCACTATTCAATGAAAAAATTTACCTAAACGAGAATGAACCACTTCCGAAAGAAGTTATAAATACTGCGGGCCAATATTTTATGTAAATCACAACAAAAACGAAAAACTTTTGAAACGTGTTCATTTAAACGCAAAACGCCTTATTTCTTTTTTTAGATGTTAATTTAATGAAATATCCTCCTGAATGAAATAATAGTCATATGTTTTTCATTTAAACGAAAAATAGTAAAGAATCATTGAAAATGAGGGGGTGTGATATTCCTCTATGGGTTAATGACCTTCCAAAATGGTTGACATCCCAAACTAAGTTTGAACTAGACCATTCCACAGGATCTAAAAATAAAATAAGGTGATGATAGTTGGGCAACAATCAAAAGAAATTTCTATGAATGGAATTTTAACCCAATTTGTTCCGACTATACTGACTTGGTCTGCCATATGATTCCAAGAAATCATGCAATCCTCATGTAATCTCTGTTGATCATCCGAAGATCTGATCCGATCAAGATCTGAAGAAAATGGGTTTTGTTAAAACCGAAACTAGTTTAGTCTATTGATTTACAAGGAAAAAACAGGGTTTCGGAAACATTAATTATTGATCTCTTTATAAATGTGATAACTGAAAAATCATGCAGGTGTTTTAAAAACTTACTATATATATACAAATATTAATAACGTTGGATAAATTTAAAATATAAATAATAATACTAAAGAAAATAAAACGTAATAACTAAAATTTAAATAATATATCCAAATTAAACTATTTATATTTGAAAAGTTAACAAAATATGTGTACAATTTTATTAATATATATATACTCATGTCTATATAATAATAATTACTAACATATCAATTATTAAGCGGACATATGGGTGGTGTGCTATTAAAATTAAGGTACGGATCATATGATTTACTATGTCTCTTGTATCTCAATTTTAATAGCAAGCATATTAATATATTAATATATTAATATGTCTGCTTAGTCTAAACTAATATGTAACAGTACATTATAGTCTATTATTAGTTAACCAGAGTATGGTATAGTCTATTTGGTTACATATTAGTTAATCAGAGTATAGTGTATCTATGTAAACTACAATGTACTGGGATAGACCACCAAAAAAATTGTGTTGGATAACACAGTATATTTTGCAGTGAAATTTTGATTAATTTTAGCTGGCTCTATGATATAACTCTAGCTGAATTTATGACGTGTGATTTGAGGATCCAACTTAGCACTATGCTAGCATCATGATAGTGTTATAGAGCTAGTAAGGAACTAGCAGGGAGCCAGAGTGGTTCTATTAATTTGCCAGTTCTAAATCCCTTTTATGCTAGCTTGAATACTGAATTTACTTACAATTCTATCTTTATATTCTCATTTGTTTACCAAGTTGAAACACAAAGTGCTGAACTTGCAATCCATATATTTTCTCTTTTGATTGCTATTCCTTGATTATCAGATTGAAGCACAAAGTGCTAAACTTATAATCCATATTTATTTCTCTCTTAATTGCTAGAGATGTGTTATCTGTATATTTGCAATTCTGTCATGTTTGACCTATTCAATTGGGTTAAAACACAAAGTGCCAAATTTGCAATCCTAGTATTTATCAAAATATACTGCAATTTGTTAGCCATCTTTTAATTGCCAGGTGAAATATATGCAAAATGCTAATATTATGCTATTTTTACAATATTGCCTTCTATGACTCTTTCAATTACTGAAGATGAGGCACAAAGTGCTAAATTGGTAGTATTCAAGTTATAATTACCTATTTTCTTTCTTTAATATTATTCTAACTTGGAATACTAACAAAAGTTCACTATAGTGAGACCTCTCTAAATGCATCTTTTCTAAATGCATGTATATATATTTTTATATAAATACACATTTCATATAGCCCCAAGTATATAAAGATCATACAAAATTTCTTTCTTTAAATGTACACTCTCATTAAATGCACTTTTTTTCAAATTTTCATTATGGTTCACAGGGGGATACATTTAGAGAGGTCTTACTATACCCTATAAATAATTAGTATAAGGAAAGTATACGGAAATAATACGTTTAATAAACATATAAAAAACGTAGACAAAC